GGGAAAAATGACTTCTTAGGCTTTCAAATAATTAAAGTAGACTTACTCTATACTGATTCAAAGGACAGAGTTATTAACTAAGTGTTATAATTATGAGTTCAATATATAAAGAACGTATTTAATAACTTAAGCTAAACAACTGAACTGGTACTCCTGTAAGTTAATGAGTTTCTTTCACTGAGAATGATCATAATAGAGATTAGATGATCATTTTTAAAAGAAGTGTTTATATAGGATATGGACTAGATGACCTTTTATCTCTTAAGTTTTTGTAATTTTATTTAAAAAAATAAAGAGGTAAGAATTTGGATAGGGGACAGCAGATGGCATAATGGTTATGTTGCTGGACTCCCAGATAGTTGACCATGGTTTGAATCCTGGACCCAGCAGCTTAAAAAACTCATGCTGAGTGTATGTACGTGCATGCCCAAAATCCTAAGAGAATGGAGGATCAGGGGTTGTGGTGTGGCCATGATTTCTTTTTTCCTGTCTCTCTCCATCTCTCTGGTGAGTGCACAGGCCATATAGCAAAAAAAAAAAAAAAAAAAGGAAAGAAAAAAGAGCCAAGTATATTATTTAGGGTTATTCATAATAAATAAGAGAATGGATCATAGGAACTATACCTTTTCTTTTTTTTTTTTAGTTTTATTTTATTCATAGTAGACAGCATATATACACACACACGAGAGACACATGCATCTTGACAGAGTTTTCTCACACCACGATTCCTTCCTTCTGGCTCTCCAACTTTCTGGAATCCTGAGAATGCACATATGTGAACAGTATGTTTTAAGGCTGACACAAGAATCTGAAACCATGTTGCCAGTGTGGCTTCTGGCTCTGCCATTAACTTTGCTACCAATTGTGCTGCCAGACTGGCCTGCAGAAATTATTTCTAAATGACATGGATAGTACCACACAACTGGGGTTCCCAAAAGCAACGATATGCTAGATATCATTAAAAAGCTATTAGATCAAACAATAAAACTACTGGTGGAAAATGCTGGGGAAGCTCTGGGAGACATTGGAGTAGGCAAAGACTTCTTAAATAAGACTCCCAAAGCACAGGCAATAATCCCTAAAATAGACAAGTGGGACTATATTAGACTAAGAAGTTTCTGCACAGCAAAGGACACAGTAACAAGTGTGAACCGACAACCCTCAGAATGGGAAAATATTTTTGTTAAATATGCCTCAGACAAGGGACTGATAACGAGAATACATAGGGAACTCAAGTGCCTTATGCGAAAAAAAATGATTAACCCGATTAAAAGATGGGAAAGTGAGCTGAACAAAAGTCTCTCTAAGGAAGACATACGAACAGCCAAAAAGCATATGAGGAAATGCTCGACATCCCTCATCATAAGGGAAATGCAGATAAAAACCACAATGAGATACCACCTAACCCCTGTCAGAATGGCAAAGATTAAGAATATAAAAAGTGATAAGTGTTGGCGGGGATGTGGTGAAAAGGGAACCCTCCTCCACTGTTGGTGGGAATGTAAACTAGTTCAACCACTGTGGAGAACAATATGGAGGTTCCTCAAAGATCTACAAATAGAACTACCATTTGATCCAGCAATCCCACTTCTGGGTATTTACCCAAAAGACAGGAGAACGCTCAGTCAGAAAAGTGCTTGCACATCCATGTTTATTGCAGCATTATTCACAATTGCCAAGACATGGAACCAACCTAAATGTCCACAAACTGATGAATGGATTGGAAAAGTGTGGTATATATACTCTATGGAATACTACTCAGCCATAAAAAATAACAAGACCCTGGAATTTGATAGAAAATGGTCAGATATGGAGGATCTATTGCTGAGTGAAGTAAGCCAGGCTATGAAAGAAAGATATTGTATGTATCCACTCAATATATACCGACTATCCGCACTCTATAATAGAGAGCAAAAATTCGGAGGACATAAACACAGTGAAGGTACTTAATGAGAATAGGACAGTGTGGAATGGGGTAAGTGAAGAGAAGAGGATAGAGAAAGATAGCAAGTGAACAATAGAGAGACAGGACGTTAGTGAGAAACAGATAGGGGTTATTAACTGTTGATGATGACATGTATAGTATTCTCAACTGGATTGGTCTGAGAAGTATTTCATGATGGGCAAAGTATTTTTACAAGCAAAACGAGAAATAACAATTGACTGTTTTATAAAAATAATTAGAATAATAAAAATAATGATTGGGGAAAACAGAAAAGATATTGAATGTTGAAGTGGGGAGATTAAAAAAAGATATATATATATAAAAAATTACCTTTTTATCATAGTAGAGTCACTATACTTTTTTAAGTCTCCCAGTGATTGTCTATTTTGCTTCACCCATGCAATTGTTTTAGCCCTCTCATGTAGTCCTTTCCAGGAAATACGTATTTTAGTTTGCACTCAAACACTTTTCTCTCTCTCTCTCTCTCTTTTTTGTTAATTGCCACAGAGTGTATGCACTTGCGAGAGAGAGAGAAGCTCTCCTTAGCAGAGTATGGCTACACCACAACCCCTTTCTCTCAATTTGCTCATCCTGTCGGGATACTGGCACTACTGGCACATAGACCCAGTGCACTTTCCAGTCAGTAAACCCAGGATTCAAACAATAGTCAGCCATATGGGATCAAATTTCCCATGCAAGGCACTTAAACAGTGCACTCGACATTTCCTAACTCATTCTGTCTCTTAGGTGCATCCCATATTTGACCACAAAGAACGAAGGTTGAAAGCTTTTAGTCTGTGGATTGACTTGAGACTGCAGATCTGTTTTTATGGCAAAAATCCATGCTGCGCCATATTTCATTTCCATCTGTTCTTTTGTGCACACTGTATTTTAATTCTTTTTATTGTTTATGCATGAACTCTTTGAAAGGTGTTTTCTCAATACTAATGCTCTTTTCTACTGTCTTTTCTCCTTAACCTTTGGCAACTTCACTTTATAAGCCAACCATCCGAAGACATTGTGTTTACGAAGCTTAACATGTGACCACTTAGTAGATACCTTGTCCTACAACTCCGAATATGGGATTTATATAACAATGGCTGTATGAGTATGTGTACACTACCCACTTACAATTGTAGGAAGTTATGACGCATTAGCTCTGGTTTCTACAGTTTAGAATTGTTTTTTATTTTTTTGGAGAGGTTTTTGCTATAGGGCATGTGTGCATGCCAGAGAGAGAGAGAGAGAGAGACAAGAAGTGAGAAACCCTCCCTCAGGGGGTATGGCCATGCCACAATCCCTTCTCCTCCATTCTCCTCTCGGGATTTTGGGCATTCAGGCACACACACCCGGCGTGAGTTTAAGCCACCAGGTCTGGGACTCGAACCGTGGTCGACTACATGGGAGTCCAGTGACATAGCCATTACGCCAACTGCTGGTCCCTTCTCTATAGTTTAAAAATAAACAAACTGAAGGGATAAAACAGATGAGAAATTATTATATTATTATATTAATTGAGACTAAGGCTAAGTGCATAATACATATTTATAAAGAACATAAAAAGTTGGCCTAGCCTGATGGCACAGTCAGTAGTAAACTGAATTGCAGTGCTATAAGCCACATGATGAGCCATGTGGTTCAGAGTCCTAGGTAGGCCTGAAAACATACCAGGTACATGTCCAAGATGCTGACAAGCTAGAGAGCTTAAGGAGGTGAATTGTGTTGTGATGGGTCTCTGTCAAGGATGCTTCTCTTTCTATTTTGGATGCATACATATGCTATATAAAAATAAACTTAAAATTAAAAAATAAAAGTCCGCAAATAAGAAATACCTAGACTTGTTCACTAAAACACAGAATGCAAACTCTCTCAAAAAAATAAAGGGTAGGACAAATAAAAGTAGTACCATGACATCAGGAAATTATAGGTAGGATCTGCTGGGACCCAAACAGGTCATAAACTAGAAAAAGAAATAACTTACTTCTTTCAGTTGATCAGCACTTCCCCATGATGCAGAACGCTGATGTGACCTCTTTTCAGCTCCCTCCTCTGCCCAACAGCTAGGTGTCTTTAAAAGAAAAAAGGAAGAAAAATTGAGAAATGTTGTCTCTGCACCCTGATCTCAAGCAACTAAAACATATCTCAAATTTTTAGCACACACCGGTTAGAGAGTTGTACTGAAATCCTTTAAACACCAATATTTTCATGACCCTGTGAAATATTTAAAATATCCTGAACTAGACATAATCAATCTACTATGTCTGAGTCATCTTGCTTAAAATATTTGGTATCTTCCATATCAACAACTTAACAACTTAAAAGTTAACACATTCCAAGAGAACTATGAGCTTCATATGTTGGTATTTTACGAGAGAACAGTCGGGTCCAGCAGATGGCATAATGGTTACATCAGAAGACTCCCAACGTAGTCAGCTGTGGTTCGAGTACCAGACCCAGCGACTTAAAACTCAAGCTGAGCGTATATGTGTGTGTGTGACCAAAATCTTGAGAATAGAGGAAAAGGGATTAAAATATGGCCATACCCCCTGGAGGGTGATTTCTTGCTTTCTGTCTCTCCAGTGAACGCATGTGCACTATACCAAAAATCTCTCTTTAAAAAAAATAAAAAAGATGGGACCAGCAGTTAGCGTAATGGCTATGTCGCTGGACTCCCATGTAGTCGACTGCGGTTCGAGTCCTGGACCCGGTGGCTTAAACTCATGCCGGGCACGTGTGCGTGCGTGCCCAAGATCCCGAGAGGAGAATGGAGGAGAAGGGACTGCGGTGTGGCCATCCCCCCCTGGGGGGGTGATTTCCTGCTTTCTGTCTCTCTGTCTCTCTCTGTCTATCTGGCGAGCACACGCGTCCTATAGCAAAAACCTCTCCAAAAAATAAATAAATAAATAAATAAATAAATAAATAAATAAAATAAAAAAGAACAGCCAAACTAAATATGAAATGGCATTGTACACATATAATGGACAGAAAATGAACAGAACTAGCTCAAAAGTAGTGGTACAGTAGTGGTACTATAAATGACCTACATATCAAATATTTAGCTACATAGAGGGCTGATGAAACCTCTTTTTCCATATTCAGGGAAGAAAGTATTAGCAATAGTATTTTTAAAAAATATCAGGTATCTTTACATGAAAAAATACATGACACTAAGAATGAAGGAGATTAAAAACAGTAAGAATAAACCAAATAAGCTGTCTATAAACTGATATAATGTGTTTTTAAAAAGAGCTACATTCCAGAAGAGAGAAACATTTTAGCCATTACATCATTTTCAATGATTTAACCACTGAGAGATGATATATCCAAATGTACCACAAAACACTAAATGAAAAAAATGCCATAAAGTGGTAAGATCACTTAGTTTTTATATTTAAAATCAAACAATATTAAAATGCCATCCTTATTATAGGTGAAGACTCAATATAATATAGAGAAAATATGACTATTCAGTCATAGACAACGGGTAATGATTATCGCAATTAATATAAATGACTTTTAAAATTCTTTATTACATATTGATAAAATTATTATTTTTTTTTTTTGGAGAGGTTTTTGCTATAGGGCACGTGCTCTCACCAGAAAGACAGAGAGAGACAGAGAGATAGAAAGAGAGAAATCACCCCCCAGGGGGGATGGCCACACCACAAATCCTTCTCCTCCATTCTCCTCTTGGGATCTTGGGCACGCATGCACACGCACCTGGCATGAGTTTAAGCCACTGGGTCTAGGACTCGAACTACAGACGACTGCATGGGAGTTCAGCGACATAGTCATTATGCTAACTACTGGTCCCGATAAAATTATCTTTTAAGTTTCTCTTTATTTCTTTAATTTGCAAAGGAGTACATGAGTTCAAAATGGGGCAGGGGGAGGGAAGGAAAAAGAGTATTAGCAATAGTAACTTTTTTGAAAAATACTAGGTATTTTTACATAAAAGACATATATTATTGGGGCCAGCAGATGGTATAGTGGCTATAGTGCTGGACTCCCACATGGCTAGCCACGGTCCAAGCCCCAACCTGGTGGCTTGAAAATCACACCAGGCACGTGTACAGGTGTGCCCAAGATCCCAGGAAGAAAAGGGAATGCAGCATGGCCATCCTCTGGGGGTGGGGAGAGGGTGAATTTCTCATTTTCCTTCTGTCTGTCTCTCACTCTCTCTGGCAAGCACACTTGCCGTATGACAAAAAACTCTTAAAAATGTATATTATTTAAAAAGAAAAAGATTAATAACAATAAAAATAAAGTATATAAACTGACTATAAACTTATTTATAAGTGTATAAATAAACCAAATGGGGAATGGTTACACCACAATCCCTCCTCCCCCATCCTTTCCCTCCATTCAGGATTTTAGGGCATGTACACACATGTCCCTGGTTTGTTTTTCAAGCTGCTGAGTTCTGGACTCAACTGCTGATTCTGCCATCAGAGATCTAGCTCCTTGAGCTAGTCCAAAGCCATCCTTTATGTTGAGATCTCACATGTGAATCTACATTAACATATAATTTTTTTTCTTTTTTTTTAAGAGAGAGATTTTTGCTATAGGGTGGGTGTACTTGCCTAACAGAGACAGAAAAACAGAAGTTACAAATGACCCTTCCAGGGGGGATTAACACACCGCAATCTCTTCTCCTCCATTTTCCTCTCGGGATTGTGGGCAGGCATACATGCATGCACATGCGTGCATGCGTGCACGCACACACACATGAGTTTTAAGCCACCCGGTCAAGACTTGAACCTCAGTTGATTACGTAGGTGTCCAGCAACATAACCATCATGCCATCTGCTGTTCCCAATAATTACTATCTCTTCAAAGCAATGGTACTCCAAAACTGCTGAAGGCTAGTTGAATAAACATAGAAATGAACTGCTTAAACAGTTCACTACTAAAGTAAAGCTATTTAATCAACCAAGAGAATAAAATATTTAATTGGTGAGGACAAGTGTAAGGGGTATCAACACATTAAATATGCCACTTGAAAAAACTATTAGTTAATAAAATTTCTTGTGAACAATTCTAGATAAAACTAATGTGGGGTCAAGCCCATGACCTGGAGATTAAGGGTACAGTAGATCCCTGGACCTAACAGCTTATAAACATGCTGGGTGCCTGTGTATGCATGGCCAAATTCCATAAAGGATGGAAAAGGGACTGCAGTGTGACCACAGCCTGTGGTGGTGGTAGTGGTGGTGGTGGGAGGGGTGCTTTCTTCTTCTTTTCATCTGTCTGTGGTGACCACATGTGCCCTCTGACAAAAGTTTAAAAAAATAAAAATAAAAAAATAAAAATAATTTAACCTCCCAAATAACTGTGTGCTTAGCAACTAAGATAGCCTAAAACCTGGGACTAGCAGATAGCATAATGGTTATGTTGCTCAAGTCCCATATGACTGACCATGGTTCTAGTCCCAGACCCAGTGGCTTGAAACTCATGTTGGGTGCATGTGCATGTGTGCCCAAAATCCTGAGAGGAGATGGAGGAGAAGGGACTGAAGCATAGCCGCCTCCCCTGGGGGGTAATTTCTCACTTTCTGTCTCTCCGTCTCTGTCTCTCTGGCAAGTACACATGCCCTATAGAAAAATTCTCTCAAAAAAAAAAAAAATCTTAAAGCCATTTATGATTTTGTCACATTTTTGAGATTTTGAGTCAATGCTTTTATCTATCAAGTATTACCTTGCCAAAAATCAAATGATTAAGGATCACAATCTTTATGACTCAAAGTATATTCATCAAAAATGAGTCAAATCTTTGTTGTATTCTATAATTATTAATAATCATACTTATAACACTAATTGTTTTTATTTTGTAGAGCTCTAACTTTTTCAAAGAACATTTATGCGTATTTTATCTCTACCTTACATACAAATCAATAGCACAAAAATTCTGCAACTCTTTCAATGTTGCAAATTATGCTAGTGGCAAATGAAACTAAATCTGAGGTCTTTTATGACACAGATTACTTTATTATGGTATCATTCTTTTCCTGACAATGAATGTGAAAATCTATTTGATTATTTCAGAATACAGCACTAGTTATTAAGAAAAAAAAAACTAGCATCAAAATGTTTGCTCATGAAGTTAACCTAGCAATATATATATTTTTAAAAGTGAAACATTACTGAAAGCTTTTTCAATCGTGGCTATAGAGTTACATGTCACAAATTGTTTAAATATATTCATTATAGTCTCACCTTCAAATACTCCTCCAAGAGTAATTTAATTTTAATCACACTGATGTAAAATAATATAAAAATGTTATTATTATCTAAATAGACTGCACTGTCCAATGTGATAACACCTAGCTATATACAGCCATTTAGATTTAAACTGATGAAAATTAAACAGAACTAAAAATTCAGTTACTTAGTTCCAGTCACATATTGCAGAAAATTCTATAAATTCTATTAGAGACCAGCTTTATTTTCATTTTTTTGAGGTTTTTGCCTTAGGACACGTGTGCTGAGGGTAGGGGACAGAGACAGAGATAATGAGAGGGAAAGAAAGAAATCACACCCCAAAAGGATGGCCATGTCACAATCTCTTCTCTCTCCTCCTGGGATCTCTGGCATACAATCTCTGGCATGTTCAAGCTACCAGGTCCTGAGGTTCTAGCTCCAGGACTTGAACTTTAGTCACCAATGTAGGAGTCCAGCACATAACCACTATACCATTTGCTGATTCCAGGAAAACAGTATTCTAAACATTTGATCACTGATTTTTAACAGATTATTTTAGCCCAAACAAAGTCAGAAGACAGCTACTTTGTAGCAAATCTATTTCAGGCTGCTGTCTGAGAAAACTTAGTAGAAGATGAACTACTTTGAATTCAATTTACATCTGAGTATCTAAGAAATGTTTCACCATTTGAATTAGGAAAATACAACACAGAGTAGCAAAATTTCCTTTTGTATATATCAGCAAGTAGCCCCTTTCAGCTGGTCTGTCACTCTGTCTACTAATCTAGACTAGAATTTTAAGCAGTGCTACTTATAACAATTGCTCCTAAATATTAGTTAAGGATATACAATCCTAAATATTAGTTAA